GATTGCAATGAAGATTTAGCATGGAGTCAATTTTAAGATATACTTAAAATTTAGCCATTAAGGAGTTTTTTTTGACTTTGTGACCAAAATGCTACCCAAACGGTATAGTTTTAGGAGAGATAAAGAAACGATTCAGAAATTAGATGAATTGGTAGATAACAAAAAGACATATGTATTTAACATTTTCGAAAGAAAAACCTTTGGAATTTAGTAGAAAATTACACGTCAAAATGATTTGCCGTGCTCGAAAACCAAAAAAGCGCCGCCGTATAATTACCTTATAATTAAGTTCGAACGCCATTTAAACGGAGTGGAGAAGCGTGCGCGACGACGTGAATTTCGTTCTGAAAGTTGAAAAAAGTTCACGAGGTCCGAACCGGTTAGCGCGAATATCGCGTGAACCTCTAAATAAACACCGACTTCTTATCTGATCGTAAGTTCGCGTTTTAAGCGAGCTCCTTGACTAATTAGCCGTGTTATCCGACCCTCTAAATGGGACGTCAATGAACGGTTGTCGCGCTATCAGGTTAATCGATAAAGGAAATATTATTCTAACCGTGAATTGTAAGTAAATACGTCCCGTAACATTCAATTACCTTAAGATAAACATTTAAAATGAAATTTAATATAATAACGAGTGGTGATCAATAAAATATAATTAGTTGGGGAATTAGGAATGTATCCAAGAAATATTTCGGCATTATTCAGGATCTCGGAAGTTTAGTATTAATACGACGCTCGGATGGTTCTGCATCGTTTCTGCCATCATATAAAGCGCCTCGCATCTAATTTCTCGCTACAACAGCAACCTAGGGCATGTTTTCGTTCCCCTCCTCAGTTTCATACCAAAATGTACATCCGTGCGCTAATCTCATTATCGTCTTGGAAAGAGGGCTGCATATACCTGCAGTGAGTAATAAGTGCGCATTCGTCCAACCAACCAACCGGCGAAGATATGCAACGCGATAATTCGACTATAGAAAGTATTACTTAGACCGTGATTGCTTAATGGCACGCCAAGTTAATGCTGTTAGACTACTTCTAAAACGTTATCTTTATTGCAAACTTAACAAAATGAGTTCACCTGACTGCAAATCGTAAAAGATTGAATAATTTATTAGGAAATCCACCGGCTCCTCCGCCAAAATTACATCAAACAGAAACGTTTCAAAGAAATAAAAGAAAGAATACACTTCCTTCGTTTTGTTATTTAAAGAAAGCTTTTAGCTTATATTTCTAATTATAGAAGACGTCTCGGCTCGACAAAACGGATGATCCCATCTCCTCAGCGCGCCGCGTTTATTCTAAACCCACAATGGGGCCTGATGTACGATATTCCGAGCTGCTTAAGGTCTGATATATCGCCTTCTCGTTGCGGTTTAGTCCTGGAATAGAAAGGCTAAGCTACCTGCCATAGAAGGCACCGTGCAGAGCAAAAATGTGCATCGATTTTTGACTCAGACGTTGTACGGTAAAACGACCTACTAAAACCGACGTTTCTTTTTTTACGTTGTGAAAACTGGAAGGGCGCACACTATGAAAGGACTAGGAACGTGGGACCCACAGGGGTCTACTCTAATATAATTTTTGCTTTTAATATAAATTTAGTGCGAAGGTTCGTGAACATTTTTGCACGGTATAATATAGTAGCGTCAGATGGAAAGCAAAAAAAGGAAGCTTGAGTGGTGTATAATGAATTTTAGAAAGGTAAAATAGAAGAAAAGATTTTCTTTATAACACCAACATTTTCTATTCTCCCTTTTTATTTATTGTTCACTAAATTATGGTTAATGAGTGTGGTCATTAATGGTCGAAATGAAACGTGTCCACTAAAACAAACTGAAACACAAACAAAATAAGCGCGAAAGAGAGAAAGCGGAAGTACCGTATGGGCACGTTTATTACGCGGATTCAGTTTTGGGAAATAATAGGCGAAACGCAAAACGACCGGCGACTAATTACGCAATAATGCGGCCCAATATTTCAAAAGAACGGGGGCGACAGTGCAACGAGTGCACCCGGGAAAGTCGGAAAATGCATTCCATTAGCGGGCGGCGACCGTTTCGTAAACTGCACGCCACTGGTCCCAAACTTCGCGCTCGGTAATAGAGGGAGCGGCTAACCGAACGTCCCGTATTATTCAAATGACGCGGCGCAAACGACCCTTTGATACTTTAAAATTTTCAGGGCGCATATGCTGTTCCTGCCCAAGTCTCCGGAACGGATACGCCACTACCTCACAAAGCTTCTTTTCACACCAGAAAACTGAATAAGCAAAACATTATTACATAAGATTCAAAACTATTGTCATAAATTTTTTTTTACTTTATATAAAATTTAAAACAAACTCAATTTGTACGTTTATACTAAATTTATTATAATTGCATTTCAAATAGTTCTAGGTTTAATTCTAGGAAAAATATACAACAATGAATAACAACTAAAACTTGAACTAACACTAGCATTAGAACTAATACTAGACCTAGAACTAGAAACATTCGGATTTAGCCGAACGTCTCTTAAGACGGCTAAACCCGAATGCTTCTAGTTCTATGTCTGGTGTTAGTTCTACTTTTAGTTCAATAAAAACGTACAACAATCTAGCACTGAATAAGAAGTAAAACTAGAACTAACACTAGCATTAGAACTAATACTAGACCTAGAACTAGAAACATTCGGGGTTAGCTGTCTCAAGACACGTAGCCGTACGTACTCAACCCAACCCTTTTCTGACCGTCTAAAACTCTTTCCCCTCTTTTCCCGAAACCGCCCTTCAGGATATTACTTCGCGGAAATCAAACGTCTTTCATCGTTTCCGTCCTTCCGCTCATATAGAACTTCTTCATTTTTTGGTGGGCTTGGAACAGTAATCAGTTCATTCATCAGTAATCAGTCTTAAAGAGGCTCTTCTCTTTTCTCCATTGCTTGCACTCCTCATTATGGGAGACATATGATCCAATTACCTTTTGGATTACTTTACTTATTGATCATACCTAGATGGAAAGGAATCTCATTACTTTTTGAATTATTATCTCTTACTTACATATTTATTATTAAATTAGGGGAACCCCCTCCAATCATCTTCTTCTTCCCAGTTTTCTTCCGTCCACCTCTTTTTGGTACTCGATCTTCTCTTTATAGCCCATGATCTTCGCTAACATGTTAACAATGGCATTCCACTTTGGCTCCGAGCACAACATCATTTTTTCGACGTTTCTAGTGTCTAGCTCTTCTTCGCATACTGCTCTACACTCCTTCCTTATTTCTATATGCTAAGACTCTCCACAGAACCAACCAAGTCAACAACTCCGTCTCTGTTCACCCAGGATACCAAGTCCGGGATAGCATTCCTCCATGAGTTCGGTTCTAAGTTCACCCTTGAAACCCTTTCCTCTTTGGTACATGGCATTCCTCTCGTCCACCATGAGATCGACCGGTGGCATTCGGGCTACCACCTCTACTCCGACATCCGGGACGGTACGATAAGCGGAGGCAACCCTGATACACAGCGTTTTGTGTGCCGATTGCAGAAGTCTTCTATAATTCTGCAAATTTAAAGCTTCCTTCCATGGTGTCGGCGCGGCGCATAGTAAGATTCGCTGCACCTGCGATGAGCTTTCTTCTGCTGGCCCCCCGCGATTGGCATCAATTTTAGAAGTATATTCGACATACGTGACGTTCTTAGCGATTTCGACTACTTGTCTGGACATTATCATGTCTCTATTAATGACTACACCCAGATACTTAACGCTTTCCGAACTTTGCACCGCTGTTCCCCATACGTCGATACTCAGCTCTTTGATCTTTCTTCGTCCCTGCACCATCTCAGTCTTCGCAGCGGCCACTTTCAGTTTCATTTCTTGAAGCCTTCCAATGATCTTTTGCACGGCCCACTTGGCTTTGTTCAGCTCTGTTTTTGTGAGTTTTATGTTTCTATGAGGTTTATCTCGTCTTCTACATTGACTGTCAATATGTCATCGTAAAATACGTTCTACAATGTAGAGTCCCAAAACTGATCTTTTCAGCACACCACTATAAATGGGCAAGGTTCTTCTGTACGGAGTTGCTATACCACGATTTGAAAGATAAGATTTGATCATTCCGACTAAAACCCAACCCAACCTGATCTAGTTCCTGCCTTTTTCTAGTTTTAGGTCTACTTTTAGTTCAATAAAAATATACAACAATCTAGCTCTGAATACTAAGTAAACCTAGAACTATCACTAGAACTAACACAAGACCTAGAACTAGAATCATTAGGGTTTAGCCGTCTTGAGAGACGTGCGGCTAAACCCGAATGATTCTAGTTTTAGGTCTAGTGTTAATTCTAGTTTTAGTTCAATGAAAAATATTCAACAATCTAACGCTCAATAACAACTAAAACTAGAACTAGCACTAATCTGCGGAATGAATTCCTAACTATAGTAAACTATAGTAATAAATTCTTTAACGTTATATAAAATTTAAAACAAATCCAATTTGTACGTTCATATTAAATTAATTATAATTGCATTTCAAATATTTTACACAACTAGTAACAAATGCAATGCAGTTTTAATTTAATTCATATTAATGAACATTTCAAAGAAACGTAAACTAAAATGAAATAATTTGGTTTAATTTACAATACACTATGCAATTAGCTATCATTAAAATTCAACGTGTCTGCTTTCACATATTAATATGGTCAATTAGTGTAACATTAAAAATGATTTAAAATATTCATAATATTTCATGTTGGAGTGCTCCGCAAAAACTATTCCACTTTAATGAAAATGTTTATAATTAACTTTACATTTATGTAATAATTTTTATTTTATACTTACACTTCACTACATTTTCCAAATTATGTATTTATTTTCGAACGTTAACTTTCGCATGAATGAATTTCAGTAAAAAAAAATTGCAATTCTCACCGCATTCGAAGTTATCTTGTGTAAATTTCCGACGTCTCCGAGAAACTGGCGCATTTATATGCAACAGCCTATCTCTTGTTTCAGCTTCATAACTCGTCGGAGAGTCAAGTCGTGTTATCTTCGGTTCAGTTGTCAACTACGGGCCTGTACCGATGCGAGGTGTCGGGCGAGGCGCCTTACTTCCAAACAGTCACCGAACATGGCCAAATGATGGTGGTGGGTAAGTACAAAAATTTCCATTTTAGAAACGAAGAGAGTTAAAATAGTTAAAATATCCCTCTTCGGCTTAAAACGCTTTCCTTTCGCCCCTCTAAAAGGGGAGAAATGGCCCAGGACAATTACTCAATGCCAGGAAAAGGCTAAACTCGCCTGTGTCTTATGTTAATCTGATATAATCCTGTCTGGTTAGCTGCATGGACCTGAGGAGGCCAGCCATTACTCAGCGCTGAGCCCCTCAGCGCCCCCTCTAATGAATGCAAAGTCTTTGTCCAAATTCAAGCTTTACGTCATCTATCCTTGGAGTTTTCATCCCCTTTGAAAGATATCGATGAAGGAGTAAAAATCACTACCGTTAATTTATATCAGTTTCAATTTTTTTTTACCTTCTCCCTAAAGGAAATTGCTTTAATACGCCGTGCTATTTCACACCCAACCTGAAGGATTGCGTGATGCTACTTCACGTCTATGTGATCTATGACCAATTTTAGCTTAGTAGGAATATATCGATGTGCCAAAATTAAAACTGTTCGTCGCAGATAGGGGAGGTTGATTTATGTTTCCATAACATGTAGGATAGCGTCAATATATTTCATTTAGAACACTTTTTTGAGTTATAAAAATTTGTTTAAAATCATAATTATTATATAAAAATAACTTTTTTACATATCTATAAATGTTATTAAATATTCCTTCATTAAGAGTTCAAGTTACAGGTGGGTTTAGACCGGAGAGGTTATTATTATATTTAATGGGCCATAAAACTGATGGTAAATTATATTATACAGTATGTTTAGACTTTAGTTACCGTTAATTGGGGTATAATTAACTTTAATTTTCGTAATTTTCGAATGCAAAGGGTGACAACGGATATGAGGGCCTCAACAATGCACCTGCTGTATATATTCTGTATTATTTATGAGATTTATGTAATGTTGTGTCTCGATATCAATGCAATTGTAAACATTTTTTATTTACCGTTAGTATGTTAGTAAAGTCTTGTAGTTACTTAGCCAGTTTTAACAAAGGAAAATAAATCTTTGCAAACATCTGCTTATTTTCTGTAAAGTTTTCTCTCCACAATCAAAACACGTGCTTTTTCTAATTTAACCTCCTACAAATCTGCTATTCCTTGGACTTTGGTGATGAGATGAAGAGTTTGGTGTTGCCCCGGCTGTGTTCTTATTTCTTTAGATGTTGTGCTCTTCATCAAAACACTAAAATCTCCCAGGAATTCTTAGATTGAGTTTTTATTAATCACTTCAATGTTCTCGTTTCAAGACAAATTCTACAAAGGAAGGTTTGGTAACCCATTGGAAAACCCTCGCAACCTCATTTTGTCTAATGACTTCTTCATCATTTTTATAAAATGTTAATTATGTAGTAAAGTCATAAAACGATCTCGTACAAAAATAGCTCGTCTATAACTTGATTCAACGTCCAATAATCGAAGAGTCAAATGACTACTATTTAGTTCCACATATTTCCTCTAATAAGACTAAATCATTCCATAAAGAATTGTATGACACTGTGACATTTTAATGGATCCATTAACATCATAAACTTTGCAACAATTCAAAAGTGGCCGAATTTCCCAAATTGCCCACCCCTTCAAAATTCAATAATAATCATCATCAATTTTGTTTTTTATATATTCTTTTAACTTGTTGTTCAACACCTTAAACTTTTCTAATTGCGTTCATCATCGATCTAGCTTCCCCAAATCCCTACTAACATTTTTATTCACCCTTCTATTTAATTCAGGCTTCTATCTTATTCAGTCTACCCCTGATTGACAGTGATCATTGCCTCGAGGCAGATTGAGTAATAAGTTGTCTTCCATCCGGGTCATCTTTCGGGTTTTCTATCAATACAAAGCCCGACACTTTCCAAGTATAACGAAACTCTTCCTTCTTGAGACATTTATTTTATATGAACAGGAAGGTTTCTATTCTTGACCCCTTCATTGACCTCTTTCCATTCTCCCACCTTATATTGGGAATAATTTGATACTTGATCCTTCCACACTGTATCAACCTCAATTTCGACCCTCTTGTTGTATCAATTATATCTCAGTCTTTCAGTGATATTTTAAAATAACTCTGTTTTTTAATTTGATTTTCTATCGATAGCTAAAACTTTACAAATGAAAAAGCTAAAGAAGTTTAAAACTGAAAATTGTGATAAATGTTGGTAATTAGTGCCATACTTTTGGTTAAGTGCAAACCGTTCAGAGAAGAAACATTAAGTAAACTTCAACTGTTCAGAAACATCTGAGTGATTCGAGCGATGCAATTATAGTGGTAATAAGAGGAATGCAGTCGTCAAGGGGGGTCGAACTTCGTGTCTTAGGGATGAGGAGTTGTTAGAGGTGTAGGGAGGTGGGAGAGTGAAAATGGACGTTCCGCAGTTGGTAATGGATCCGCGGGTTCAAAACGTAGCGGAACTTGCCGTCGCAATACAACTGGCGCCTCAATTTACACAAAGCGAGTAAATGGTCGGCTTACTTCAAAGTGAAAATACATAAAATAGCATAACTTGAACACTCGAATTCTACTCGCTGTGGAAGCGTATTCAAGGCGACCGTGAAAAAGTTTCCGGTGGGGATCGGTTTTCAATTTTGCGAGCGCATCCGCAAGGGTTCTTGCAAAAAGGACTCGGGAGAGGAAAATGTCCTGGGGAATCCGAAACGCGGCAACCCCTGTTTTATCGGCGAACATTAAACATTAAAGTACATGAAATTCTGTCCGGGACTACAGCCCCATCTGAATTTTTCATGTTGGGCGTCACGGTACCGTCCTGATTTCCGATATCCTTCCGGGTAATCTCCTATTGCAATGCAGTGTTTTATTTACGCCTTTTCCTTTCCACGAAGAGAAACGTCTTTATCTTTCTGTTCATCTCGCAATTAACGCTACATTTACCCCAATTCCAATTAGATGCAGTAAACCTCCATGGAAAAACTATAACAAAGACCAGCTCCTCCACCAAAACCGTAAACATAGCTAAATTACCTCGTAGGGCGAAATAAGGGCCGGGCGGCCGGGGAGTTAGGGTAAAACGTTCGCCGCTATCGGTTTTTGGGGCGGGTAATTACATTTAAGAAAATTGGAGCGCGCGGAACAGGGTTGGGGAATTTTCTTTCCCCCCCTTGGTAAAGAAGCGATACGATCGGTCGTTACTCCGACAATAGGACTGGAACAAGGCGATTGATATTGTATGTGTTTCTAATAAAGATCGACGGAAGGGTGGTACCCAAGAAGGAGCGAAGGTTGACGTTATCGAAAAGTCGCCGATTGAAGGGGTTTTGTTCAAATGAAACATAAATCTGGTACGTTTTTTGACTACCAGCATTGATTGAGAGAGGTGGGTGCTACAGCCCCCACCGACGAGGTCGATTTCCTACAGTTTTCTCGACGCGACGTGCGATCAGATAAAGCCACCACGATATTTCATTATGTAGGTTAAAACGATATAACGCTATTTTTTCGTTAATCATAGCTTAGTTGCGTCACTAATATCAAGTTTATGTAACTATTTACGTCTAGTTTTCGTATAATTATTCTTTATGCATTTGTTACGTTCAGATTTGTCAACACTATACGATAATTGAACGTTCCGCAAAGCACGTATAAACTTGACGGACGCACAAGCACAGAGCAAATATTTAATGTCAACAGGGACGATTTGGTACGAGAATGAAACGGATCTGTCGTTTCGAATACGAAACGTTTCGAATTACGTTACGTCGATGAGAGAATAGCTCCGAAAAATAATTTATTATTTCAACCCTTTTATTGCGAGCCACCCGGGGTGACAAGCCCTCGTTGACAAATGAATAAGTGACCACATACCGGGAAATAAAACGGAGCATTACAGATGTGTTTTATGCGCGTGTTAAGTGGCTTTTAACCTCTTTAATAAATGTTATATTAATATTGCAGTGGACGGAAACCCTGCACACTGTGGCGACTCTGCTATTTAATTAAATCGCAATTATAACCTGTTTTATACACGTAACCGCACCATTAAGTTGTGGCCCATTTAAAAAGTTTTTTAAAGTACTACGTTGGTTTTATAGTTCTGATTTCGTTACAATACATTTTTTATCGTCTTAATGTCAGAGTTAATCAAGTTAATATCCAAGTACACATTCAATAACATTAAATTTTCAATCATGAACGTTATCCGCTTTATCAATCATTCATAAGATTTTTTTTTATTTTCCTTCTATTACTACAATCTATCGCATACAACAACAATAAACCTGCTCAATAGTAGGTCCCAAAGAAAACCATATTAATGCATAGTTATGACAAACAATAACATTTTTATTTAATATTACAAATTAAAGATAGGTACGTTCTTTATTCCGATATGGATAGTTTTGATAGGTCCTTTAGCTTCAATCTTTTAATAGTTGCCCGGCGCTACAGATTTTTTGCAAGTCGATTTGAATGAATTTGCAGCCTTAGCTTTTATTAGGTACTTGGAACTTCGCTGGACAATTACCTCTTTCACAGTAAGCATATTGAGGTCTTGATGTAAGATGCAATTAGGTACGAACCAAGGTACGTTACATATTTGTCGAAGAACTTTAGACTGAAATCGCTGCAGCTGTAAAATGTTTGATTCGCTAGCCCCATAATTGAATAGCATATTCCCAAACAGGTTTCAGTATGCCAGTATATATAAGCAACTTATTGTCTAGGCTGAGTTGTGAGTCTATTCATAAAACAGTGCATTTTCCTGTAAAATAGGACTATTATACAGGAAAATGAGCCAGGAATAGAAGCCGTTTGGTCCAAATATTTTTTTTCGAAGTTAAGTGATGATCCAGGTAAATTTTAAGAGTATTTAATGTAAGAGTAGGACAGATTCACTTTTTTAGAGTGTATATGATATGAGTGGACTTATTCGGATTTATTTTTACTCATTACTGTGATATTGTAGGTTTTGGGATGCCATTTCAGGAGATGTATGAGTAGCCATAACTACATTATC